AGGTATGGTATATCATCTTTAATTAGACAAAAGAAAAATTTCTCATCATCATTACCCGATAATTTCATTTGTGACAAAAAATTTTTTGTTGGTAGGAGATAATGAACAGGTTGGAAAATTTATTCGAATATTTTTAGCATCGAATTATTGCTGTTATCCTATTCTTATACGAATTAATAACATATAAATAACAAAAGAATTCTTTTAAATTAGATAAGATTGTGTTAGTATTGATTGAGTGCGATTGTTTTGAGATTGAGAACAATGCAAAATTTCACTCGACATTATTCTAAAGCATGCATTTCCAAATAATTTAATTAATTGATCAGTTGTGCATTTTTGAAATGGAAAAAATTCCATGTGAAAGATAACAAATCTTACGTGAAAGATTTTGCATATGTGAGAGAAAATAGAGATTGTTACTGATAAATTTAAACCAATAATGAGATATTAATATCTCATTAAAAATTGCAAATGAAAAAAAAGAAGTAGGATATCAGTTCCTTCGGTACATTACATCAAATTCAGCTTAGTATGCTCAGTTCAAAGAATTTATGCAAAACTCTTTTTTTACAAGTTAAAAAAAAGGAATTATTCTTTCAAAAATATAACCATTTGAGCATTACTGTAATAACCACCTAAATTAAAATAAACAGTGTAATGGATAACTTGAATAATTGAATTCAACATATTACCATGTCGAAACAACATCACGCAACATGTCCATCTGTTATCAGCTAGCCAAGATGAGTGACCACAATATTATGCATAAATAAAATGAGTTAAATGATTTCTGAATAATGATAGATAGGACCATATGACATATGGTCATTGCTAATTTACTTATACTTGGAAAAATATTATTTTAACAAAAACAACAACCATAAAATATCAATAATTATAGTTGAGTGCTATATCATATTATATTAAGAAAATGAAATGAAATGAAATACGATAGCTACCCATCAAGTAGCAAAGATATTGCTCTTATCATCATGATGATATGGCTATTGAATAGAAATCCTTTTTCAAATGATGTTTCTTCTCTAAACACTGAAAATCAACATTTTTCTCCCTCTTTCTCTTTGTTTGTTATCTGAAAAAAAGCAAAGAAATGGAAGAAAAAAATTGACTAAAAAATAATTTCGAATTTTAATAACTTGGAAATCCTTAATATTTACAGAAAAATTCGTTTAATACGAAGACGAAAAAATAATGATCATTCATCGGTAAATCAGTGTTCATTCTATTTTAATAAAAGAAATGAAATAACACTCTCAAAAACTGATATATTTCAGAAATTATATCTGAGCAAAATGAAAAATGAATTGTCAAATAGTGATAATTGTGTACTTTCTTT